GGCTCTCCCGCGGTGACGCCATTCTGCGCGCGGTAGAGGTCTTCCCCGCGCTGATCGTGATGCTGTATGAGTGGGACATCACCCTCTACGAGCTCGCCACGAGCTACAGGTTTCACTTTCTGCTATACTTCCTTGCAGACGTCCTCGAGCAGCTCAATGTGCTGAACAGGGCATTCCAGCAGCGTGAGGTGAGCTTGGTTACTATCGTTGCTGGATTGTGTGCCTTGTTTCGGTTTGTGAGTCACTGTTTGATGTACTGCTTAAGCAGAATCTGCTTTGCACTGATTTGGCCTTCTCTCCATCCTCTGTTCGCCCTGTTGACCCCTAACAGCTGGACATTGCAAGTGTCCACGGGCAGATCCGCCGGTCGATTTCATTCCTAGAGTCCCGCTACGTCGACTGTGGTGACGACTTTGGAGGCGGGGTGAGCGCGCGCCTCTCCCCGTTCATCAAGAAGCACGGGCCTGAGGGGGGCAATCCCGAGGTGAAGGTGCAGGGAGTCGACTCGGACGGGCGGCCCACGACACACACCTTCGAGCTGCACGAGAAGCCGAGCGAAGACTACCCGACCCTCGGCTCCCACGACGCCTGCGTCGATCTCTGCACCACCTTCGCCGAGACGCTCGTGCAAAACCTCAGCACACGGTTCCAGGACCTGGACTCCCTGGTGGGAGTGCGGCTGTTCATGCCTGACGAGTGGGAGCTGGGGAGAGCAGAGCGCCACAGGCAGTGTCTCGAGTGGCTCGAGTCTCTCGTGAGGCTGTTCAGGGCACAGGACACGGACTACATCATTCCAGGTATTCCCGCTCTCGCACTGTTGCTGTCCGTCTTATTGTGTCATTGCATTTCATCAACGTATGGTGTACGCACTTGCCAGCCTTTCAAAAACCCCCTCTCTCTCTCCCTTCCGCATTATGTGGCAGGGGTCGACAAGCGGCGTGCGATCAAGGAGCTGCGGGCCTTCTGCCCCATCCTCGCAGGTGCCCCGAAGAACGAGCGGAGCTTCCACGCAGGCCTAACAGCAATGCTGAAGACAAGCGACTGGGCGACTGGCTACCCCAATCTGGTGCGTCTCTGAGTGGCTGTCGCCGTGCTGCCGCTGAGCACAGTGGAGTGTGAGCGCGGCTTCTCACGCCAAAACGTTATCAAATCGTGGCAGCGGGGGAGCTTGAAGGACGCCCGCCTCGAAGACCTCGTCACCATGTCTCTACTCGAGTACGAGCCCAACTACGATGAGGTGGTGCAGATCTGGCGCAGCTACAAGAAGCGCCGCCCATTCGGCAATGTGGCGGCACCACCTGAAAGAGAGGGAGAGGGCAGGGATAGCACGGGAAAGAAGATGATGATGACAAGCAGGCCTCATCAGATGATGATTACTGAACTCACCCAGACCCAAAGTCATGCTGGATGCAATGCATAGCTAGCTAGCAAGCAAGATAGGCTTTGGTTTACAACACAGATAGATAGATTGAAGGCAGTTTGCGACCTTCATAGAGTTTTAAGTTAAAAAATCAGCTTCACTACTATCAGCCTTTTTCTATAGGTGACACTGATGCATCAGACTTTTTTTTTAAGTAACACTGAACTTTCAGGCTTTTTTCCTAGGCGACCCTGTCGATCAGGGTCTAGGGCCAGAGGGACCCTGATACCCTTACGTGCCTCAAAGTGAATCTGAGGGCCTGCCACATGGCATTTTCGTGGGGGTGATGAAGCTCGTGGCCGAAACCCACATTCGCGCCTCAGACAGTGATGTTAAAATGAAAATCAAAACACACACATTGTCTAATTAAATAAACACTAACACTAAAATATACCATATGTAAAGACCCGGGTATTATGTATTTTTTTCCTATGAGGAGACCCCCCCCATTTTTTCCCTGTATTTTTAGCTATACCCTAGGGTGCTATGTCCGGGAGAATACGGTACAAGATAATCCAAGCATTTTGAGTAGTGTGCGAGATAAGACATATATGTCTACTATCCGGGCGATGACGGTAATTGGGTTGTACCTCTTATGGACTACCCCACTATAGCCTACACAAAGTAAGCACTATAACATTATGAGAGTTACTGGTCGGTCAAGAGTCACGACTGTTGACTATCTTCGACTGTTTGACCTTCGGGTGACTCTCGATCTTTCGCATGCTCTATATGAGCCATTGCGGTACTGGTACAGACGCGTTGCTTCGTTATGAAGTGACGCGTGAGTGGAGATCCTTCGGGAATGTTATTACGGTATAACCTTTCAGTTATTCCAATAAAAAAAGCAACAATGCAGCTAGCTCTTTTCCCACTATTGCCGACAAACGGTAGACCCAACTGCACTACCCTCACTCACACCCACTGATCCCCATAATATACACTTAGACTACAACCCGGTTTCCTGACTCCCCTTCAACTTCTCCCGAGGTATTCTTCGCTTCTACTCAAAAATCTGCCCACGCAGGGCGCCATTAGGATACTTCTTCGTGTGAAGGTTCACGTAGAACCCCTCCGGATCCGCCAAAATCGCCTTGAGAAGCGAGAAAAACGCCGGCGTCAGTTCCTTCTTATTCTTCCCGAGCACACCGTTGCATTGAAACTCACTTGTGGCCCTCAAAAACCGGTACTTGCACGGCAGATCCAGCACCTTGGGACCGTTTGACCCCTCTGCTGCCTTGTGCACATGCATCATGGTCGGCGGCATATTGCCCTCGAGGTGATAAGCTGTCAGTGTGTACTCAAGCTTCACAGGCAGGCCCTTTATCCTGCAAATCACACGTCAGTGGAACGGGGGTTAACTTTCTAGACATTGTAACGGGGTTCAAGTGTGCATCGCATGACAGTGTTGAGCTTTGAACGTGGGAGCTTTGAACATGGGAGCTTTGAACATGGGAGCTTTGAACATGGGAGCTTTGAACATGGGAGCTTTGAACATGGAAGAAGACACTTGGTATATCGTGGGGTATATCATCAGAGCACCCATTGGCCCTGCTCTGTTGGATCTGCGGAACTCAGGCCTGCCATACTCACTTGTGGATTGTTAAAGCCATGCCGGCCAAGCCGCCTGAGTCACCCTTGGGAACCTCGTTGTAGCCAAACAACGGAAAGAGAAAGTCTGCTCAAGGAGAAACCGAGGGGAGAGGGGGAGAGGAGGGAAGATCGAGGGGGCGAGAGGGGGGAGGGTGGGGGGGGGGGGCGGGCGTGGGGAGGGGGCGGGTTGGGAGGGGATGGGGGTGGAGGTGAGGTTGGAGCTTGGCGGTGAGGCATTGAAAGAGAAGGCATCTGCTGGGGTAGGACCGAGAGAGAGAGGGTGAGTTCAGGTTCGTAAGTCATGCGCCAATGGGATTTAGGTGTGACGCCTAAATCCACGGTGGAGAATAGGTGAGACGTTTTCCGAGAATTCTTCCATACAGGGAAGAGTTTTTTGGGTATGGAAAACGTGGCAGTCCATAAAACAGCAACTTTGGCTCACCAAGGTGGAAAACAAAAACGAGAGCTATATGGAACTCACCAGGTTCCCCTGCATAGGCAATCGCCACCAGAGCCGCCGCGAGAAACGCTGCACGAAGCACACACGCGATGATAAGCGAGATTAGCAATCGGGTTACCACGCCTGGTAAACAGCTGGCAAGCAATGACTTTGAATTGAGCTGGCATTGGCGTTGCGGTGTCACGCCAGGGGTAAAGCTTATCGAATAGTAATAGCGCTTACCGAAAGGTAAGGCTGACCAAATAGTAACGCTTACCAAATAGTAAGATGCAGCGAGTACGAATGAAGGCCATGAGACAAGGGCAGACCCTGGCTTTAACTAGAAATCGGTTTGCAAGAGGGAGCGAGAAATCGAGTACTACTAGTAGAGAGGTAAACGGAATGCAGAATTATTTCTGGATGAGATTCTAGGGACTGGGATTACCCTCATTTATAGTCACGTTGAGGATCCAGCATGGAAGGTCCAGAATAGTGGAAAGTGGGAACTGACGGACGGGATGATAGGAAATTCCGCGAAGGAATCTCGGCATCAGACATCGCGAACCATCAATAAGACGAGCGAGCGCATCAGTCGGAAGGGCATTGGCGTCGAATCAAGCCAATCCTGTCGGTGCTGGTTAGGTTCTGAACTCCGGCATCTGATTGGGTCTCCGTAACTCAATAATAGCAGCTGTAGACGAGGGGAGGGGAGTCATTTGCGCTTATTAGCTATCCCTGAGTGAGCTACTGTAATGCACATGGATTGTGATGCGTTCCGGAAGCTCGGATGATTCAATCGTTCGAGAAAGAGGAGGGCCACGAATTTCCGAGTGAGCTATGCTGCACTGCACTGCACTGCATGCACGTGATGATTGTGACGCGTTGCTGAGCCGAGCCGTGATTCTCGCTGCAGTCATCATGGATGGAAGGTATGGCAAAATAGGACAAGCGACGGTGCAAAACCATTCCACACGTTACATTCTGGTTCTGGTGTACAGCTGTGGTGTGTGATCTGGTGATGGCATCGGTTGGAAAGGGTTTTGCGTTTTTAACTAGTGTGCTGTGCGATGCAGCGGAAGACAAGACCATCGGTCTCAGGGTGTAAGCGGAATGGGGATCGACTATGGTAGGAATACGAGGTTACAAGTAGGAATGTCGAGAATGTTTCTGTACTCGATACAGCTGTAGTCACTCTTTGCCAACTCGTTCTGAACGGCTACAGCATTGCCCGCAACTCAATTACAGCAGCTCTAGGCGAGAAAAAGGCGAGCCAATAGGTTAATCCAGCGATCATGAATCTTCATTGTGACGCGTTTCTGAAGCTTGCCAGAGTCAATCAATCTTAAAGACCTAGGTAGAGTAGGTAGGAGCCTTGTCCACTTTCTTAGCACCCTGACATTTACAATGAAATCAGACTAACGTTTCTGCTGTGGGCCATGTGCTCACACACCATCCCCAGACCATAGCAATTGTATTTTATGTTGCATCCACTATTGCAGATGCTTTATTCCTTGCTCATTCACTGTCAATTCAACTCCTCAAATTATATTAGCCGTTGGAAAGCTGACCACGCACGGCGCCATCAGGATACTTCTTCGTGTGAATATTCCCGTAGTGCCCCTTCGGACTCTTGGAGATATCTTTAAGCGCTGACACCAGGTCGTTGGTGCGCTCGTGCTCGTTCTTCCCAAGGGAGCCCTTGCAACGCCAGTCGGTGCGGCTCTTCCTCTCGTACGAGCATGGCAGGTCCAAAAGCACGGGGTTGTTCTGCCCCTTGTTCCCCGGGTGTATGTGCGTCTTGGTTGGCGGCATCTCTCCTTCCAGCTTCAACGCTTTCACCGAATACTCCAGCCACGTAGGATTGCCATCCTCCCTGATCATGGATTGTCACCAGAGGTATCAAATGAGGCTGAAACAAGTGTAGGCAGCATATTGGCGGCTCACGCCTCACAGATGTAGCACAACAAATGAAAGGGGAAGGACTCACTTATAGATCTTAAGCTTCAAGTGGACCATGCCGCGTTTGTCGCCGACAGCATTCCTGGCAGCTTCACTGTTATTCTTTGGAACCTCGTTGGACCCAATCAGCAAGGATTTGAAGCGCTCTGTTGAAGGGAGAACGAGGAGGAGGGTGAGTGAGGATGAAGTGACAGAAGACATGGAGAGATGATGCAAGAATGGGAAGGTATGAAACGGAAAGACACGGTAAGGAAAATGACGGATAGCAAAGGCAGATGGAAGGGACACGCACCATAATCCTTATCGTCGTCCGAGTAGGCAAGGGCCACCAGTGCCGCGAAGAATGCTGCACGCTCGCAACACATGCGATGGAGATCGATGCTCAGGCAGGGTTATAATGCAGCGCCGATAATTCTCCAATTTAAACGAAAAGAATTAAGAAATTAGGGGAAAAAATGGAAACGTTGGCAACATCGAGGATCGAGAAGCGGCTCTGATTTCATACCTACGAGTAGCACGCGGGCCGGAGTTGAGGCCATGATTCAATAGACGAGACACAGAACCACGGTCTGCAGGAGGAAACGGTTTGTAGTAGTAGCTAGAAGTGTGGGAGCTGAATTAGTGTAAGATGGATCGCTGATTTAGTGTAATGGATGGATGAAACCCCCCTCATTTATAGGCCACGTAAAAAAAAATGTTCCGCGCCGAAGAGACACGCCATTAGGTAGGGCTGGCTGGGCGTGAGTGACGGGTGAGGCTCCGACGCGCCTCCTATAATCGCCGTTGACCCCAAAAAGAGGTCAAGCGGAAATGCAGAATTGGAAATCGTCATCCATAGAGTGCGAGGAGCAGTAATTGTGACAGTCAGCCATTGGACACATGCGTCGAATTGCACAGGCGAGGAGACGTGGCGCATTTGGCTCAGCTATCCTCAATAATTGTGACGCCTTACTCAGAGCTAGCAGGAAAGCAATGCCAACGCAAAGGTGATTTCCATTCAGCACACAAATCACGAACAGGCGGTATTATTCGTTTCTATGCAATTCAAAGCGGTACAAAACCTAATTGACATCAGGCAGAAGACAGGAATGCTCCACTCTACCAATTGGTGCACTACGGTGGCAGTCACAGTCCGCTGCTAGCTTCCCCAACTCGGTTTGCAGTGTCACCCTGTGTGCGAAATCCACACATCGCGAATCTTCGCAAAACTCTTGGATACATCTGGTACACTACGAACACCTCAAGAATTAACAACACGTGGTAAGACTCTATCTCACTCATTTACCTGTTTAAGACCCGCACTGTTTCAAACAGTCGTCAACAGCCTTCATCAATGTACGGAATGAAATTGCAGCTTGCTTTTAAATGTCTAAGCATAAGCTTCAAGTAATCGAAGAGAAAAAAAAATATAACATCGTATGATAAATTCCACCCGAATCCGTAGCTGTGGCGATGCACATGGACTGCTCTACTCATCAATCCAACCCCCAATATTCGGCCCACCGGCACCATCGAACGGGCCTCGACCACCAAAACGCGGATGGTCCTCCATTCCTCCACGGGGATCCATGGGCGGGAAGCCACGGAAAGGCCCCCTAGGTCCTTGATCATTGGGAAATGGTGGCGGGCCAAATGGAGGGCCATGTGGGGGAGGCCCATGTGGCCCTCCTTGCGGAGAAGGGAAAAACTCTCCTCGCGGGCCTTGCGGTCGAAAAAAGTCACCTCGTGGAGGAAGAGAGTCCGGCGGGCCTTGCATCATGTGGTGGGGCGGTCCCGGAAACCTCTGCTCGTGGATTCCACGAATCTGGACGCTTTCTCCAAAATGCTGCAGTTGCTGCTGCTGATGGCCGAAAAAGGGAGGCCTGCCGCCATGCAGATCTAGCGGCATGTTGGGGGGAAGGTGCCCCATCAATCTCGGCTGCTCCATCGAGTGGCGGACGGGCGAATCTGCAACAACCATCACGCGATGCGTGCCGACCATGCGCACGGTCACCGGCGCAACATCTGTCAGAGGTTCCATAGGATCCCCCAGCTGCTGCTGCATGTGAGGCGGTCTTGCTCCGAATCGCGGCTCTGAAAAGGGGGGTCCGTCTTCAAAGCCCGGAGGGATGGGACCACGAAGAGTCATGTGAGGTGGTGGGGGCGTATGCGGGTCGAACGGGGGTATATGCGTGCGGATCACAGGCCCCATGGGTCCCATGGATGCGCTTCTCATGCCGCCTGCTAGCTCGCCTTGCAGCCCACCCATGCCCCCACCCATGCCCCCACCCATGTCACTCATACCGCGCATCTCCGCATATCTCCCCGCATGCACCGCTTCCAACCGCTCTGCATTGCGGAGAAAGCTGCTGAAATCCCCCCTCCCTGCATCACCAGCACCCAATCCACCCTCTGCTGCTGCAAACTGCAGCTGATGATGCATGGGTGGAATGGGCGAGCTCAAACCACCACCAGCCATCGCAGGTCCCCCTTCTCCCCCTCCTCCTGCCCCTCCTCCGCCTGCCGCTCCTCCTCCCGCCTCAAGCCTCTCTGCGTTGCGCAGGAAATTCTCCATCTGCTCGGCTCCTCCGGTTGCTGCTCTTGCCGCTTCCATCCGCTCTGCATTGCGCAGGAAGCTCTCCATCTGGTCGGCTCCTCTCAGGATGCGGCCTGAGCTACTAACGAGTACAGCAGCACCCCCCGGACCGCCAGCTCGCTGCGACAGCTGCTGCGGTGTGTGGGCAGCACGAACAGTCATGCAAGGCACGCAGGGGCAGAAAGAAACAATCCGGGGTTGTAAGAACACTTGACTTGGCCCAGCCACACTTGAATTGCAGAAATTGCATGTCAAACAAGTACCAGCTTAGCAGCATCCGCTGCTTCTCCCTCACCTCACATACAGCTAGCTAAGGCTCCCACTATCCGAACGTATCTCCATATACGCATCACTGTCCATACGAATCACTGTGCAGACTGCTTAAGCCTGAGCACAGGCACGAGTACATTCGGGTCCCCATTGAACACGAGTACACAAGCTTGTATTTCAAATTCGTATCGACCCCGAGGTCAAACTGACTCCGAGTTTGCATTCAGTTGAAGCTCGTTTCGACACCAGCTCGTTCAAGCCATGGCTGAGCCAAACCGGCTCCTATCGAGCTGAGCTAGTCAAACTAAGCGAATGCTCAAGTCTTGACGCCAATCCAGCAAGCTAAGCAAATGCTCAAGTCCAGCCATGGCTGCTCTTCTCGAGCCGCCCGACAAAACAGTCTTGCGGAACTTTGTAGGCCTGCCTGTGAGAAGCCACGAAACCTTGCCTTGATTTGCCTTGCCTTGGTTATCCAGTCAAAGCCACGAAGCCACGAAACCTGGCAGAAATTCTGCTGATTTAAATCTGGTCTCGTACGTACGTGTGGTATATGGAATGGCGCGTATGTGACTAAATTAGGAGACGCGAGGGAGTGCAGTGCAGGCCTGAACTTTTTTGGGTTGAGTAGGCCGAGGTAGAGACTGCCAAGCCAGCCGCGTGTAATGAGTCGTGTTTTGAGTCGACTCAAAACACGACTGCAGTGCAGGCCTGAATATTATTGGAAGAGTAGGCCGAGGTAGAGACTGCCAAGGCAGCCCAGCTCGCAACGAGCAGAAAATCCAAAGCCACAACTCTGTTCTGTCCGAGCCGATTTGTAAGACGGCACAAGGCTCGCTACACTCAGCCATGCACTCACCTCTGCTCCCCACATCGCCTACTCCTTCCAGACAAACTCCGGAGAAATGACCAACAGTAGAAGCAGCACACGGCTCTTACCCACCTGCCAGTCCTGACCCACCACGCATCCACCCTCACCCTTGCACTCCCTCAGCCTTGCACTCACCTCGTGCTGCCTCAAGCCCCCTTCTCCCTCCCCAGAAAGAGATCCTGGAAGCAAGAAGCTTGAATTCGGGCCTTCGTCCGGGCCGAACCCGGGAGGCACAGCAGACACCTCTTTCCCCTGCATGCCCAAGAGAACACTGTTGGAAAGAGAGGTCATTCACCGACGGCTGCCGTCGGCAGGTGTGAGTACAATGCCCAAATCCCTCTGCATTGTACTCGCACCTGCCTCCCTCTGCCTCGCACTCACCTCGTGCTGCCTCAAGCCTCCTTCTCCCTCTCCAGGAAGCAGAAAGCCCGCGTTTGGGCCTTCATCCGGGCCGAACCCAGGAGGCACACAGCACAGCACACACAACTCTCCCCTGCACGCCCTGACCACCCACGGGGACAGTGTTGGCAGAAACCACGTCCCCAAGGGCTGCCCAAAGCCCTCTGCCTCGCACTCACCTCATGCTGCCTCAAGCCGCCTTCTCCTTCCCCAGGGAGCATGAAGCCCCCCTGCTGGCCTTCGTCCGGCCCGAACCCAGGAGGCACAGCAGACATCACTCTCCCCTGCATGCCCTGACCGCCCAAGGGAACATTGTTGGCCGCAGAGAGCGCACCAAACGAGATGGGGACTCTGATGGCGCCTGAGAGGGAGTTTTGAGAGCTGACGAACATGGGGGGGTGCGGGCCTTGGGTGAGATCGAGAACGAGAGGGAACGGGGTAGGGGAAGGGAGGGCAGGGGCGGGAGGGAGAGAGTGCATTTGTGGGCTGGAAAATGGTTGACCGCGCGGTGCCGGTGGTGCATCCAAGGCAAACTCTCCTGCTTCTCTTCCTTCTGCCGCTTCCTGCTCCCTCTGCCCCCTCTCCTCCGCATCTCGATACTCTCTCCCTCCCCGCTCGTTCCACGCCTCCTCTCCACCCCCCTGCTCCTCATACCCCCCTTCCCTTCTCTCTCCCCCATCCACATCCCTCCCTCGCATATACCGATGCTCACGATCCCTCGCATCGTACTGACTCCCATCAACACCCCTCTCAACACCTCTATCACCGCCCCTCTCCAGCCAACCATCAACTCCTCTCTCTGCGCTTCGCCCGCGGTCTCTAACATAGCCCCTGTCACGCCCCTCATCATAGCCCTTCCTCACAAGCCCTCCCTCCTCCTGCCGGCCCCTCTCTCTCTCGTATCGCCCCCGCTCCCCTCCATACACACCCCTCTCTCCTTCCAGCCTCCCTGACAGTGATCCACGCCTGTGCTGCTGCTGCTGCTGCTCCGCCCAGCTCTGCATAGCCTCAGACTCACCCCTCCGGGACCTGCCTGCCCTCCCCACACCCCCTGCCCACTGCTCCTCCTCCCTCCTCCACTCCTCTCGCCTCACCTCTCTCCTTCGCCCCATCTCTGCAATTTCGTCCTGTCTCACCTTTTCCCGAACCCTCTCCTTCTCCCTCTCCCTCTCCCGCTCCCTCTCCTTCTCCTTCTCCCTCTCCCTGTCCCTCTCCCTCCCCTTCTCCCTCTCCTTCTCCCTCTCCCTTTCTTTCTGACGGTCTGCTGCTGTCCTCTCTTCATCGTGACCTCTTCTGTCCTTCCCATCCTTCCCATCCTTCCCTTCTTTTCCCTCTCTCCCCTCTCTTGCCTCCCTCCCCTCTCTCTTCTCTCTACCCTCCCTCCCTTCCCCCTCGACCTTCTGCCCGTCCTTGTCCCTAGTATCCTTGGCAGCTCTCTCCTCCCCCTTCTCACTAATTGTACCCTTCTCCTCTCCCTCTCTACCATGACCCTCCATTCTCTCCTTCTGCACCTCCCCCTCCTTTTCTCTCTCCCTCTCCCTCTCCTTCTCCCTTTTCCTCTCCTTCTCCCTTTCCTTCTCCCTCTCCCTCTCCTTCCTCCTCAATCTCTCCTCCCTCTCCCTATCCCTCTCCCTTTCCTTCTCCTTCCTCTCCTTCCTCTCCCTATCCTTCTTCTCTTTCTCAGTCTCCTTCCTCCCATCCTCATCTCTCTTCTCACTCCCTATCTCAACTTTTACCCTCGGACTCAAATCACCAACCACCAACCCCCTCTCGGCTCCCAACCTCTCGCCTCCCAACCTGCCCCCATCAATCCCACCCCTACCACCCACTCCTTTCTCACCCATATTATCATACTCCTGCTTCACCTTCACAATTCGTTCCACATTCATATCCTCCTCCTCCCTCCGTAGCTGCTTCATCCCCACCATCTTTCTACCCTCCAGATCTCCCTCTCCTCCTCCTCCGCCCTTATCAATGCCCAGGACATCCAGCCCAACCATCTCCCTTCCTTCATTCCCCCTCTCTTCCAAATATAGCTGCTGCCCTCCATCCCCGTTACCAACAGCAGCAGCAGCAGCATCATCACCATCACCACCACCAGCAACACCACCGCCTTCATCACCACCCCCAATATCATCTCCCGAAGCTCTTCCCTCGGCCAAGCCACAGCCAGCCCGAGCCCAGATGTTAGGTCCGAGAAGTATCAGAGCTTGCGATTCAGCAGCAGCGATGGAAGCAGGGTCGAGTCCTGAGAAAATTAGAGGAATTATAGTTTGAAAATACACAGAGAATTGATTTCCATCTGATATGGTGGAGCATATCCTGTCAAAAACATTTAGTTATACTGATATCGAGCCTTTCGCTTGGATGAACAGTAGAGAAAGGGGGAAGGAGATCCCAGCAGCAAAGGCCTGAGAAGCGGGACTGGACGGTAGAACGGAATTGAGACAGGATGAATAAACAAGCACCCGGATTCAACGGACTCCATGGGAACTTGTGCGGGAGTAAAAGGGGGTTGAAGGGGGCTGAAGGGGATTGAAGGGGATTGAAGGGACTTGAAGAGGACCGAAGGGTCGAAGGGGAAAAGGGGGGTTGAAGAGGGTTGAAGGGGATTGATGAAGGTTGAAAGGGAGTTGACCTTGCGTGAGCATGATTGTCACCGATTTCCTCTACCAAATTCGAAAAGGTTTCGTTCTCGTCGGTTCTCGAGGCTCGGTACCTTATCGTAACATCCCTATTGTATGCATTGTGACGCGACTATATATAGCCTCGTGTTGTACCTGTTGACGGAAGTTGGCCTCGCCCTCGTTTGGCCAAGCCGACTTCGTGGTCGGGTGCGCAGGAGGTGCAACCGACCTGGGTGTGCGGGTCGACGAAGTTGGTCGACCTGCACGGCACCACTGCGAAGCCGTCGACGACGGGAAGCCATCGACTGGCTTTGACTGCCGTGGTCGACGAAGGAGGTCGTTGACCTGGGGACGCCGACTTGGCGAAGTCGGCGGACAGCTTCACCGTGGTCGACGAAGGGTTTGTCGACCCACGAGTTAGCCGACTTCGGTGAAGCCTGCTTCTGCGACGCCGACTTTGTTGGAATGGCGGAGCCGACTTTGCAGGCGGCCAAGTCGGTTTTGTTGGCCGATTTGGAGGATCAAGTCGGCGTGGTTAGCCGACTTCGACGGTTAGCCGACTTGGAGGAAGTCGGCTACAGCAGGGCCGGCAAGACGTTGGTCAACGAGGTGAAATCGACGGCCGACGAAGGTGTTCGTCGACATGACGCCGACTGGGGGCATTGACTTGTGGTCGTCGGCGGCCTCCTCCGGTCGACCGTGTAACCTGGCCGACGAAGTTCTGCGGGGGTGCGCGAACGTCGTCCAGAGTTTTAACGAAGCCGACCTACGTGGCAACGTCACGTGCATACGAGGTCGGCGTGGCACATCTGGAGCAACTGTCGGTGCGTGGCCGACTTGGCACCTGTGCAATGTTCGTGACGGAGCACAACGTGCTCAACCGTCCACATGCACCTGCCAAGTGGGTGCGCTCATGCGCTAAGGTCACATGCGGTGGCAACGCTGGCAAGCCGCATTGCTGCAGCATTCGCGAGCGGCTCTGTTGCAGCGCTGGCAGGTCGCCGACTTGCAGTGCTGGCAAGCCGCCATCGAGCTGTGCTGGCGGGCCGCCGATTTGCTGCGATGATAGTCCACCTGCATATCTGATATGTTTCTAGGCCCCAGATGTAGTCATTCCTGTTTACCATCTTTGCACCATTGTTGTACATCCTATGCTAGTGAAACTCTTGCCAATTTGCCTTATGAACAAAGAAGTAGAAAGGACATGAACAAACGCTACGATCACTCGTACCACCTGTGCCTTCCCGCGTAATCCAGCTTTCGGTGTAGAGTGACTCTCCGCAGTACACAGGATTCATTAGTGAATTACTGAACTATGTCCTTCGATACTCATAGTACATTTGCATTTGGAGTGCAAATCCACCCAATTATAGTGGAAATCCCACTTGCAAGCGGTTTGTCCTACAACACATACTTCCTTCTTTTGTGTTTGGACATTCCAACCACATTTTAAGAACCAATGGTGGTTGAGATCCCAACCATCACTTGCTCCCAACCAACTTCTTCCCTCCCAAACTTCCAGTGTATGTGTTGTTCAATCTAATAAAAAGCTTCATAATACTATTCACAAGGCACCTGAACCTAGTTTGGGTTCAACTAGGATTTCGATAATGGGTTGGGAGTTTAACCATGACACTAATATTCAACCACCAAGTTGAGTTGGGGGTTAAAAGAGGCCTAATGATCGTGGCAGCTTAGCTCGAGCTTCTCTTTCCACTACGACAATCGGACTCATGTAAAGGGTATGGAAAAACAAGAATCAACGCACCCATGGTGGAGCTGGAGGTTGCAACTTTGAGCTCTGTTAGGTTTTGAGTCGACTCAAAAGTCAACTTGGAAAAACAATAATCAACGCACCTGTGGTGGAAATGGAGGTTGCAACTTTGAGCTCTGCAAGCAACGAGGGAGGCATGGGCCGTGGAGAAGAGAAGAGGCCCCTTGTGTGCCCGAGCCGGTCCGCCAACGGACCGTAGCTGAAAAGGGAGGGTGGGAAAAGAATGGGGTAGAGAGGGGAAGATAGTATTTAGGGCAACGTAGATAGAACACAAATTTGAAGTCAACTACGTAAACTTTGCTTCACTTACCGGTGGACGAGGTCATTGCGGCACCAGAGGTATAATGGCGGAGGGATATTATTCCATTGATTCATTGTCTTGTTGTCCTTATCATGCGACCCTGGCAAGTAGAACGCGCGATTCTCGAAAATCTTCTCGTCCCTCCACAGTAGCGTATACCCAAGTGGGCCCAGTTGTCGCGTCTCCGGGGGGACAATGAGAATGATGAGCTTGGGTCGAAAGACGGAGGCCGCACGGCCCGAAAAATTCGAAGCGAGTTGCCCTCGCACACCGAAGGGCGGGTTGAGGCCCATGATGAGGCGATTGCCTTGGGGTAGCTGGTTCCTCTGTTGTACGGGCGTGGGACGGAAGAGGCGAGGGATGAGAATGATGAGCTTGGGTCGGAAGACGGAGGCGCAACGGCCTGAAAACATTGAGGCGAGTTGCCCTCCCACACCGGATGGCAGGTTGAGGCCCATGATGAGGCGATTGCCTGGGGGGAGCTGGTTCCTCTGTTGTATGGGCGTGGGATGGAAGAGGCAAGGGAGGAGAAGGGAAGAAGTTGAGGATGTGCAAAGGATAAAGCGAAAGGCCGGGTTGATACCAATGACGAGGCGCTTGTGTAGAGGGAGCTCGTTCCTTTGTTGCATGGGTATGAGTTGGAAGAGTCAAGCAAGAAGACAGGAAGACGATGGCGATGGATCGTTGCTGACACGATGACGTTCCCTCCGCCATAAGGGCATGGGATGGAGGACGCAAGGTAGGCGACTAGGAGATGAGGATGTGCCACGGAGGATGACAGGGTATGGAAAGAGGAACAAGGCAGCAGCAACAAGGCTAGCTTTACCACGTCTTGTTGCCCTACAACTAGCTCTCCTGTGCTAGAACTAGCCCTGTTGAACCAAAAAAGGCTCTACTGCGTTACATCTTCCTCTGTCGGGTCGGGCTACAACTAGCCCTGCACCGTTACAACTACGAGCCCTGCTACTACCTCTACTGAGTTACAACTACCTCTCCTACACTACCACTGGTTCTGCTGCATTACCAGTAGCGCTGCTGCGTTACAACCAGCTCTGCAGCGTTACAACTAACTCCGCTGCATTACAACTAGCTCCTCCGCATTACAACTAGCTCCGCTCCATTACAACTAGCTCCGCTCCATTAAAACTAGCTCCGCTGCATTACAACTAGCAACCGTACAAGGCTAACGTTGCAACTGTATGAAGTGGCAGGCTGAATAGTGCAAAACAGTGACCGGCAACGGGCAGTTTCCCTGCACTACTTTTGTGTTCCGCACTAGCACTCACACATACCCTATCGGCACGCACCCCAACAGCATAGCATACAACCTACCGAAACGCATCCCACCAGCACATACCCCACAAAAACATTCCCCACCAGCACAGAAGCTATCAGCTGGAGGGAGCAGCCACCATTGGAGACATGTGCCACCAAAGGTCAATTACCCACATCACTTATCAGCAGCACCTACCAGCAGCACCTATCAGCACTGCTGTTTGGACATACCAATAACATGCGTGCACTAAATCTAAGCATAATCGATCCTTCCCCTAATTCCACTCGTCCAGTCAATCCATTCATCCCAACAAACAAGTGTGCCATGTGTTTCCAACTTCCCACCATGCCATGCCTTCCCCCACATGCCATGCCTCGCCCCCACACCATGCCTCGCCCCCACACCATGCCTCGCCCCCACACCATGCCTCGCCCCCACACCATGCCTCGCCCCCACCATGCCTCCCAATCCCCACCAGCGCCACCCACCTTGGTCTAACCAGTCGAGATTCACAAAGAAGTACCCAATCATCCACTCACCATTTGCACCCAGCAGCACCCATCAGCACCCAACAGCTCCCAGCAGCACCCAGCAGCACCCAGCAGCACCCATTCGCACCCACCTTGATGGAGAACCAGTCGCGCTTGACGAAGCAGAACTCATTGGGAGGCCACATGATGTCAAAGTTGGCAAACCCACACCGCTTCCCCGCCTCCTAAGCCAACACCCAGCAGCACCCAGCAGCACCCACCTTGACTGAGAACCAATCTCATTTGACGAAGCAGAACTCATTGGGAGGCCGCATGATGTCAAAGTTGGCAAACCCACACCGCTTCCCCGCCTCCTAAGCCAACACCCACCAGCACCCAGCAGCACCCACCTTGACTGAGAACCAATCTCGTTTGACGAAGCAGAACTCATTGGGAGGCCGCATGATGTCAAAGTTGGCAAACCCACACCGCTTCCCCGCCTCCTCCAGCCGATGCCTTGCGATCAGCGAGAAGTGGTTCGCCCCGCAGCAGAAATCCACCAGCACGTCCCCATCCTCCATATAAGGCACCAGCCGCTCCACCACCTCGTTAAGCTTCTCGGGCATCGTGAAATGCCGCCCGAATGAAGTGTACCGCTGCCCGTGAACGTACGGGGAGAGGTATACCCGCAAGGTGCTCCCGATAACGTTCAGCTGCTGCAGCTGCATCTTCGGGCAGAGACCCATTGCCTGCTGCAGCGCTTGGGCTGACAACACCCCTGCTTGCTCCAGCTCCTTGGCTAAGAAATTCCGAGCCTTTTCCCCTGCGTGGAGGATTGATTCGAGCTTGCTTAGCGCTATCTTCCGAGGGTTGCCGCCCTGGTTGTTGTTGTTGTTGCCGCCCGCATTGCCGCCCCCGTTGCCGCCCGAGCCAGAGCCTGCGTTGTTGTGGCAGTGCTGATACATGCGTGGGACGGCAAGGCCGGCCTTGGCCGTCTGTTCTGTGACCTGCTTCGCTGCATCCTCGAATATCTTGCTCAGGCGAGCTCTAGACGCGTCCAGGTCGCAGGGATACTGAAACATGTGCCGTGGGGCCTTGCCTGTGAAGGAGGGGGATGAAGGGGTGTGGGTGGGTGAGTGGGTGCATAGTGTGCAGTTTTCAGCCGCCCCTTGAACGCGTCCAGGTCGCAGGGATACTGGAACATGTGGCGTGGGGCCTTCCCTGTGAGTGCAAGATATGGGAGGGAAGGAGGGGGGCGAGGTAGGTGTCTGTTCTGTGACCTGCTTCGCTGCATCCTCGAATATCTTGCTCAGGCGAGCCCTAGACGCGTCCAGGTCAAAGGGGTACTGGAACATGTGCCGTGGGGCCTTGCCTGTGATGGCAGGGTACGGGAAGGAGGCAAGGGGGAGAGGTAGATTCTTGAGTCAAGACAAAACCGGCCTTGGCTGTCTGTTCTGTGACCTGCTTCGCTGCGTCCTCGAATATCTTCAGGCGCATCCAGGCTGCATGGATATTGAAACATGTGCCGTGGGGCCTTGCCTGTGAATGGGGAGAAGGAAAGAAGGGAGGGGGTGCGGAAGGGAGAGGGAGGGGGGTGGAGGAGAGGGTGGTTATGGGCCGGTAATGTCTGTGTGGTTCCAACAGAATGTGTCCAGGTCGATTAACTATTTGGCTGTGGCTGCACATATCTTGCTCAGGCGAGCTCTGGACGCGTCCAGGTCGCAGGGGTACTGAAACATGTGCCGTGGGGCCTTGCCTGTGAGGAGAGAAGGGAAAGGGGCGGGGGGAAGAGGGAGAAGGGTGGAGGGCTGTGGTGGGTGACTTGTGAAGAGCGCACTGTTTGCAGCAATACTGACATCGGCAACAGACAACTTTTGAGATGTCTCAAAAAACGTTCTGATGGGTGATGGGAGGAGGAGAGAGCACACTTCTGAAACAAGCACACTTCTGAAACAAGCTCTGGATGCGTCCATCGCCCTCCGCGACATTAGAGCCAATTCAATGCTCCCTAAGGAGTGCCTCTTCGTACCTTTGTTCCAGCTCTGCGCCATCTCCTTGTGAGTGAGCCCGCCCTTGCGGCTTTGAATGCCTCCTATGCTATCCATCGCCCTCAGAGCCGCCTCCCTCTCCTCCCTCTCCCTCTCAATCCACGACCTCTTCCTCCCCTTCCCCTTCTCCCCCACCGCTCCTGCTGCTCCCCCTGCCGCAGCTCCTGCTGCTGCTGCTTGTCCTTTCTCCTGTGCTGACCAGGATGATTCAGCAGCAGCGGCAGCAGCAGCTCTGGCAGACATTGATGCACCTGCTACACCCCGCTCACTCAACCCAAATCCTTCCATCTCCATTTCCTCCTCTTCCTCCTCCTCTGCAGCCTCCTCTTCCCCCTCATCATCCACAATCATCCTCCTCCTCTTCACCCTCCTGCCAGCTCTCCGTTCCTCCTCCCCCAACACCCTCCCCCCCTCCTCCTCCTCTCCCTCCTCCAAATCCACAAACCAACTTGTTTTTCTCGGTCCCCTAGTCCTCCTCACGTCCGGGAATTTATGGTGCCCGCGGGCAGCCGTACCAAGAAAAGGATCCAATGAATGCCTGGTACAGTACATAAGACTTTCGGCAAACCCATCCCCAACACCCCAAACCCTCTGCGGATTGTTTGGATCATCCCCATCCAGTTTCAGGTCAGGTGGAATGCATTTCACATGGTAAGATTTCGGGCAGCGGCGGCATGGAACAAGCTTGAAAGATTCCAAGTCTCCCTCCCCCAACTGGCACTTGGCACATGTGTGCAACGGGCAGAAAAACATTCCGGACCCTGCCCGGATGTTCCCAGCAACAGTTTCCAGCTCCTTGATTCGCTCCTCACTGCCCTGGGGCAGCCTCTTCGAATCGGCTAACCACGACGCGACACATGTCGGGTGGTAGAAATGCCCACAGAGTGCCACGTCACACATAAACACCTCCTGCTCCTGCAGCACCTGCTGCTGCCCCTCACCCCCACCCTCTGCCCCTGAACTCGCACCCAAAACAGGCTCCGATCGCCCCAGCTGGTGGCAAATAAAGCACACGTGCTGCTTGGACTCACAATTCGGGCACAGCCAGGTCTCCTTCTCATGCACCTCACTGTCCGTCAGTCCAATAGTCGGGCAGTGGAACTTGTCCCTCCGCTTCTCCTCCTCATCATCTGGTTCCACATGGAAAGATCTCATACATGGACCATCACAGCACACCAAGTCACCACCATCATCACAGATATAACACACGCTGTCCCACCCAGCCACCTGCTCATCCTCCTCCTCCTCTTCCTCTTCCCCGTACAACCCTCCCTCCGCACCTTCTTCCGAACCTTCCTCGGCACCTTCCTCTGTTCCTCCTTCCTTCCACGATCTGTACCGCGCGTCTCCTCCCCTTCCTCCTCTGCTGCTCCCACCCACATCCATTTCATCCTCATCATCCGAAGCAATGAACCTCCGATCCTTCTCCTCCTCATCCTCCTCTTCCTCCTCCAAAAACCTCGCTACTCGCCTCTTCTTTCTCAGCAATCCTGTCGTAACCGATCCTGCTCTATCCAAACCTGCTCTGCTCGTTGGATACCCTATGTCTTCCAAGATCTTATCTCGCACACGAGCCCTTTCGCTACCTCGCTCACCCTCTCCCTCTTTCTCCTTCCCCTTCTCCTTCTCCTTCCCCTTGTCCCTCTCCTTGTCATTCCACCCTTTCTCTACATCCCTTCCCTTACCCCTTTCCCTGTCTCTCTCCCTCTCACTCCCCACTCCTCGCTCTTTCCCACTCCCCCACCTCTCCTTCTCAAGAAACTTCCAAAGACTAGATCTTTTCAGGGCCACGTCATCCTGAATAAAATCTCCCAGCAAATCCATCCGCTTTACAAGCCGCTCCAAATCAACATTGTGTGACCGCAGAAACTGTTTCACCTCACCTTCCGACCAATCAGGATGGAAACGCACGCAACACTGCGCCCACCCTATCTCCGAACCCAACCTCCCGGACGCGTAACCCAGGCTCGGCTTCCGAACTTCAACCCATTTTTCCCCGTGCCGAGCCTGCACCTGAACTTTCACCGAATCTACCTTCACCACTACCCGCCAAGCAATCACATCAACAAACACAGGTGCCCCACCATTCGCATCCTTCCCACGCAAATACACCGACTCCTTTAACAAAGCAGAGCTCCATTTCTTATAAAGAGGTAGCCGATAGAAGGAATAAAGCTCGCCAGCGGCAGTTTCAAGGCGGAAATCAGTGACAGCGTCAGGAACACGCACTGCAGCATCCTCATCATCATCATCAAGGTGAGAAATAGGGTTCTTAAACAGTTCCGACTGACCCAACCTACGCCTGGCACCCTCCTCTCTGTCCCCGTCCTCCCTTTCCCCGCCCTCTCTCTCCCGCACTCCTCCACTCCCTTCACCTCCTCCCCCACCTCCTCCACCTCCTCCTCCACCTGTACCTTTCCTCGCCTCCTCTCCCTTCTTCTCACCCCCTTTGCCTGAGCCCTCCGTTCCCCCGTCTTTCCTCCCTCCAAACCCTGCTGGTCCTGCTATGCCTGCAGATCTTGCTGCTACCCCTGCTCCTGCCCCCCCTTCTTTCCCTCGTTCCTCTCCTGCTCTCGCGCTCTCCCCGCCGTCCTTGCCTCTCTCACCGCCCCCAGCTCCCAATCCCAATCCCCCCTTGCTTCCTGCTCCGATCGCCAGAGCCGTCGATTTATACGAGCCGGACCGACCCAACGGTACAGCCTTAGCAGCAACCGCAGAGAACCCACCCCCACCGCTGGAACCACCCGCAACGCCGGCAGCAGAAGACGAAGCGACAGCAGACGCCGCTTTTGTCGAACCGAGCATAGGTCTAGTAGACACAGCTACGGGACGCTTCACTCCCCCCCGGTCCGCGCATCCGTGCACCTCTCTCCACTTCGGCTTGCTTATACAAAAATCATCGGGAGTGAGGGGATTTCGACGGTTCCGATTGTAGCTCTCCAAGAACGTGGTTAACTGGCTAGGAGAATAAAATTTCTTCTTATCCGGGGTTATGTAAAAAATATCCCCTCGGAATTTCGACATCCACCAGAATCCATCCGGTTCGAACGGCTTAGTCTTTTCTGCCTCGGTTTTTTTCTCCTCCGGATCCAAGCACCGGGCTCCTGGCCTATAGGGCTCTGCCAGGTGGCAGAACCAATCCACAGTTTTGGAGTCTGCGAGTTTTAGAAATTCCTCGGGAGGGATTCGACGAAGCTTCTTGCATGTCTTGCAGATGACACGTGGCCAGATCTCGTCGTGGCCGGCTTCAGCCGTACGATCCATTTCTATCTATTGGTTCTTAAGCCACACGCTTCATGAATTAGTAGGTAAATCCCAAGGTTGCAGCTACGATGGTTGTAAATCTCGGAACTACAAGCTACGCATACTCACTTCAAAAGGAGTCGTCAGAACAAGTTCACTTTCCGCATGCGCAGCTAAACATAGGAACTCGCCACCAAGGTGAACGATAGACACTAGCGAAGCATCTAGACAAGGTGGAGGAGAAGCGTGAGTGGCAAGAATAAACAGGCGTAGAGGGGAGTCATTGTAAAGATAATAGTAGAGGTGAACAATATGTTGGAGTGAGGTGTACATGTTTTGAGTGTTCTACTAGGTCTATGTTTCCTCTAAGAAAGCTCGCGTGTGATACTGTTTCGTGTGCAATGAATCAAGGTAGCGAGGATTGCACTAGGGTGTTCAACGAGTACAACGTATGAGCGAAGGCATGAGCGAATACTTATGTGCGAAAACATGCAACGGTTACACGGTGCGTGCGAGCTATCTAGTGCTACGCTGGCGCGAGGTTCGGGCTAGTCCCGAAGCGTAGGCCGACTCGGCTGCTCCAGCAGTGCGAGGTTTGGTGAAACAGTGCGTGCGAAGTTGGCGAAGCCCCGTTAGCAGTAACGGGCGAACAACGGTTGCGGCTGTACGCGACGTTGACGGTCGTGTCAGAATGTTATAGTGCTTACATTTGTGTCGGCTATAGTGGGGTAGCCCATAAGGGGTACAACCCAATTAGGGTTAGTAGTTGTACCCAACTTCTGTTCAGTGCATTCATTATTGTTCGTTAGTTTGACATGGTTTCAGAGCAGGTCCTTCATTTGGACCGATTTTTTTTTGGCCCACCATAGCGCTGCCCCACTAGCCGCCCTGCCGGATCACGCGTCGCCCCTAGCGACCCTCGTGCCACACCTGCTGCCCAGTGCGCCGCCCTCGTACTGCCTGCCAATCGACCTTGCCAATCGACCCTAGGCCCCGGCCCGTCGCCCGTCGCCCCTAGGCCCCGGCCCGTCGCCCGTCGCCTCTAGGCCCCGGCCCGTCGCCCGTCGCCCCTCGGCCCGTCGCCCCTAGCCCCGGCCCGTCGCCCGTCGCCCCTAGGCCCCGACCCGACGAGGCCCCGGCCCGCCGACGACCAGGCGACTCAGCGTTCGTCACAGGGTTACACCTTCAGTCTTGGCTCTGGTTCTGTCTCGTGGAGGTCCACTCGTTCTTCTTCTTTGCTTAGTTCCAGTTGTGAGGCTGAGATCTACGCCGGGGCCATGGCTGCACAGGAGCTACGCAGGCTCACCTACACTGAACGAAATAATTGTCCACATGTTCATGTTTCAAGATATGAACGGGCATTAGTGGCCATGGTGATTAAGCCTTAATAACTGGACCACATGAGGTTAAAGCCCGAAGGGTTGTACATCTAAACACGCTACATGTTGGTCATAAACTTGGTTAAACAATCAGCGAATATAGAAATAGGCAAATACTAGCATAAGGACAGTTTTTTACAATTACAGTCACACATGCAAACCAAGCAGAATCTAGTACTTGGTCCATCGACCCTTGGCCTTGAGCACAGCCCGCACACGCCTAGGCATGCTGTCGATCAGCTCACTGCACCAAGCCGCAGGGATTTTCTCCCATTCCACTTGTACTCTGTCCCATAGCTCGAGAATGCCTGCAGGGGGGCGGGGGTAAGCAAGCAGCTGCTTCTTCAAGTAAACCCATAGATGTTCTATGGGGTTGAGGTCCGGACTAGATGCTGGCCATGGGAGCACAGAGTACGGCTGCTCGGCAAGGTATGTTTTGACCATCTTGCATGTATGCTTCGGGTCATTGTCATGCTGGAACACAACGGTCTCGGGATCCAACTCGTAATGCTCAATAGTCTGCTGCAGCTCGTCTTGCAGGATTGAACGGTACAACTCGCCGTTCATTCTTCCCTCTATCTTGCACATGAAACCCCCGCCGTTGTATGTCATGCACCCCCAAATCATGATGGAGCCGCCGCCATGTTTGACGGTCTGTTTCACATGGTGCGGCTCCATGTGACAGTTGACAAAGTTCTTAGCTAGGCTTAGGAGCCATAGCTAGTGAGGTAGGAAGTTGAGTTCGAGTTTAGGAAAAATGTCGAGAGGAATGAGGGGTTTCACTATAGGTTCAAGGGTACAAATATGAGACAACAAGCAAGAAAGGTGCACCACCAAATAGGAAAACGCTATAACTACAGTAACCAATCCTACAGGCAGTTACATATAGAAAATATTAAATTATATTTTCCGACACGCCCCCATAACTGGCTGTAGGAGATGAGTATGCAGTTAGCGCCCTCCGAAGGGGTACATCACGATTGCGCAGGAGGAGAAAAGTGTTTCAATAATACCACTCCCCTGGCTCCCCCACACCCTCACACCCTCTCACCCTCCCCCTCCCCTTCCCTTTCCCCCTCCCCCACACACTGCTGCAGGAGCAGCAGAGGGGGGAAGAGAGGAGAGGTGGAGGGACGGGTGCTGGGTGGTCTCACACCCGCCACCCCAGTGCCACTCCCCGGGCTCCCCCACACCCTCACACCCTCCCCCCCAGCGGCAGCTGTAGCAGCGGGAAAAAAAGGAGGAGGAGAGGGGGGGGGGGGGGGGGGGGGGGCCGACGCACGGCCTCCCCGGGTGCCAAAGCAGGCGGCAGAGGGGGCGACGCCTGCCCCCCCCTTCCAGGTCGCCCCTCCCGGCACCTGTCGAGGTGACCTGAGGGGGCCGCGTGCGGCCCCCGAAGGAGCCGCGACGGGTTACGGGAAAAGGGGGGGGGGCGGTGCACGTGCCCCCGGTGTGCCGCGGCTGGCGACGGGGCATGGCCGGGGCGGGGTCGGGGCCGCAAGTGGGCGGGGCCGTAGGTGGCATCGGGGCCTCAGGTGGCGGGGCCGCAGGTTGGCGACGGGGCCGTAGGGCCGCAGGAAGGGCGGCGGTGGGGCCGCTGAAAGGGCGGGCGAAGGGCTGCTGGTAGGGCGGCGACGGGGCCGCTGAAAGGGCGGCGATGGGGCCGCTGAAAGGGCGGCGACGGGGCCGCTAAGAGAAAATTAAGGGGGGCACGCCACGGGGCGTGCAGAACACAGAGTAGCAGCGGAAGCAATAGGGCGGGTCCACAGGCCAGGACCGTGATCACTCTGATAGCATGACAAAGTTCTTAGCTAGGCTTAGGAGCCATAGCTAGTGAGGTAGGAAGTTGAGTTCGAGTTTAGGAAAAATGTCGAGAGGAATGAGGGGTTTCACTATAGGTTCAAGGGTACAAATATGAGACAACAAGCAAGAAAGGTGCACCACCAAATAGGAAAACGCTATAACTACAGTAACCAATCCTACAGGCAGTTACATATAGAAAATATTAAATTATATTTTCCGACAACAGTCCTCCCTAATCCAGGCCCAACAACGGCCGTCGCTACTAAACCGGCAGATCTTCGTTTCGTCGCTCCACACCACACGTTTCCAATCGTCGATCGTCCAGTGCTGATGGTCCTTGGCCCACTGCATGCGGTCCTTAACATTTTTCGCGGATAATCTAGGCTTCGACGGCTTTTCTATCGCCCTAACTCTGTGCCGCTTGAGAGTGTTTCGCACGGTGGCGCCCGTGACACTGATGCCGTGCGTAGAGGATATCATTCCCGCTGCGGCCTCGGCGGTTTTGGATTCACCAGACACTATCGACCTTATAACTATCCTCGCGATTTGCTCAGGTAACTTGCGCGGCCGACCAGGTTTCGCCGGGGACGGCACTAGCTCGTCGAACGTTTTCGGACCGAGGTGGCGGAGGAGCTCGTCATGGACGGCAGACTTTGAAACTCCCAACTCCTGCGCGATTTGGCGGTAACTACGCCCCTCCGCAATTCGCTGCATGATGCGAATCTGTTTCTCCTCGCTAAGGCGCTTCATGTTGCGGGGGTGTTAGCGCTACTCGTAGATCGTAGTATCCGCCCGTAATCTCCTCTGTACCTAACTAGTCTAGATCTAACAGCGCACGAAATAAGGCTCGGGACAATTCGGAAAGATTTGTCCGTGTGGGGTGACGAGAGGGAAGAGCTGACTCATTAGAGCAAGAGGTTTTTTTGGGGCTATAGGTAGGCTACACAAACTTGTAACTGTCAATCGCGAACCCTGTATGCAATATGTTTATTACAAAACTTGTTTAGGCCCCAATTGGGTGCAAGTTATCATACATTTCGAATGCATAAGGACAATAATTTCGTTCAGTGTATCTGCTGACCGACTTGGGAGAGCAGCCTCGTTCGCCTCCAGTTCTGTACGTAGACAACAAGGCCATGATTGCCTTGTGTCAGGAGTGTTGCAGTTTTCAAGGCTAAGATCTTTTGTAGTAGGAGTGTTGCAGTTTGCGGAAGCGTTAATAAAGATTTACTTGAACCACCTTGCACTGGTATGTGAGAAAAAGATAAGTTAATATTAGCAGAGAGATACAAGGCTTTTATATGATTACAAAGGAATATGAAAGGTTCTACTTTAACTGTTTTTGCTGTTGCGGTTCGATACAGTGACGACTCGGGTAAC